CACGCAGTACCGACTCTGTTGTCCCACTGTGAGATAGTGTTTATTTTTTATTCAGCGTGTAGATAGCTATGATGCAATTATAGAAAATTTTAACAATTTAACCTTGATCTCCTTGAATCCCCATGAAATAAATTCTGTGACAATAAGTGAACTTCAATAGCTTATGTTTTTACAGTTGTCTCTGCATGAGAAAGTTATAGTTAAGAGGACATTCAACGCCTGATATTCAAATAGAATATGCAACAACAAGAGGTATATTCGTAGCTTTAATTCTGAATGGTAACAACGGAAAAGTTGGCACTCTGACTGTAAAGTGAAAAAAAATGCATTGTTTTGCTTCCCGCGCTTGCTGTTTGGAGGTGATGTAACGTGGACAAAAGATGGTTTTAGAAATATAAACAAAATACAAAAGACAAACTTGAAAAGTCAAAGAAGCATAGTGAAAATGTGATTTCACTGTCACTTTTAGGAAACATAAGGAGATACTGAGAAAGTGAGGCATACACTTTCAATCAATGAGCATATCATGAAGGTTAAAAAGAACCGTGGAAATTTATCCAAAATCATAGACTATATTTTATTTTGTGGAAATGTTGAAACTCCCTTACATGGATATGATGAAAAAAATGATACAGTAAATACAGGGGTATTTCGAGGATTAATAAATTTTGTATCTAAATTAGATCTAGATTTGAAGAATCACTTAGGAACCAGTACGGTTTTCAAAGGTGTTTCTAAGAGCATTCACGGTGAGATACTTGACTGCCTGCTACAAATTTACCATAAGAAAGTGCGGGCAGAATTTATGAAAGCTTCGTTTGTAACCGTCTTTATTCCAGAAAATCAAACTGCAGATGGTATATCAAATCGTATTCTAGAACAAATAAACTCAAGAAAATTTACAAAAAATTGACAGCTCAGACATTTGATGGCGCAAATGTCATGAAAAGCAAAATGGAGTTCGAGCCAAAAAAAGAAAAAGCAATTTATAGTAGTGCACATTTCATTCACTGTTATGCACATCAACTTAATGAAACCGGCCTGGGTAAGACAATAAACTACATCCGCGTCCTGGGTATGACGATAAACTACATCCGTGTCCTGGGTAAGATGATAAACTACGTCCAACAGCAAGGCCTCTGATCAGGAGGTTTTGAGGATCGTGGAACCACCTCTTAATTGCTGGCGTTCCCAGGTCCACCCTGACCTGGGGTGGTAGCACCTGTTAGGGTCACAGCTATAGGAAAATAGTTAACACCCAAACTTGGTAAAAATAGGTTTTATACCAGAAATACTTTGTAATAACAGAAAATATTACCAGCAATAATTTTTGAAGGAAAAATTATTATCAGCAATACTTTTTTTAAAAAGTACCAGCAATACAAACAGCTATACATTCTAAAAAAAAATATTACCGGCTATAGATTTCTTCAAGGAAAAATATACCCAGAAATAGATTTTTGAAGAAAAACATTACCAGCAATAAAAATTTTGTCGGCATTAAATAACCCATTGAGGTTGATATACCGTAAAACAAACGAAACGAAACGAAACCAAACCAACTTAATGAAAAATATAGCAAGTATTACACGGAACGCAAGAATAGTTTTCTCAAACATTTTGGCTATTCCAACATTTTTCTCGAGATTACTATACATATTCATTCTTAAGAAGCATATGGACGTCAGCATTAAACGCCCATCCTATATAAGGTGGAACTTTTTACATACAGACCGTGAACAGAATTCATGAAAATGCGCAACCTCTCAAAAGCTGCCCTACTGAAATTTATTCAATCTCAAATGTAGATCAAACCATTACAGAAAGAGCAGGAATTTTACAATAGCTGAATGATGATAATTTCATGTTTCGGTTAGAGCTTTTTCATTAGATTATGCCTCATGTTGAAGTAATTTACAACCAAATGCAATTTCGAGAAATTAGTGTGTTTAAAGTCAATAAATATATAATAGATTTCAATAATGCTATTTTCTAAATAAGAAACTCAAAGTACTCTGAGAATACTTCAAAGACATTTATGACAGAAGCAAAGAATTGTGACTGCATATGCGCTGATATAATGGACAGATATTTTTCCACTAAGCACTTATTATCTGCTAAATTGTTTAACAAAAAAAAGCTTAACTAATTTTAAGAATGAACTGCCTACAGAAGAGGTAGTTCTGACCACTAAAGCATATCCCATGATTGACAAAAGCTTGAAACTGAACATGAATTATTCTATTTCATTTCAGATATGTATTAATATTGCAAAACAATTGACTGGAAAATAATCTAGACGATGTTCTTAGTGAAATTACGAAACTGATTAAAATCCCCTAGACACATTCCATGACTACATCAAAGCCAGAACGCTGCTTTTCAACACTGAAAAAAAATAAAAACTTTTCTTTGAAGCACTACGAAATGAACTTGTAGTGCTTTCAATGGAAAAAAAATCTTCATAAGTCATCCAGGGATCAAGGAGAAACTTATTATCCTTTACGTTCAAAGTAAAACGAAGAAAAATGGATTTCATTTTTAAATGAATGGATCAATCTTGAACTGTAACAATTTATAAACAAAAAATATTTTTTACATTATTTACATTATTCGAACTATTGTCCTCATCTTTGTCACCATATTTACTACAACGTTTCGGCTGTTGTACGCTCCGGCCTTCTTCAAGTAGTGGAAATGTCGAACTGAACCCTTTATTTCGCTCACTGGGGTAGACTGCTCTAGTTCCACATGCCATGTTTAATGGATGTCAGTTATCAGTTATCTCCTGTTAATTTCCCTCTGAAAGTTCTCCACTGCCTTAACCGGGTATTGAACTCACACTCCTTGGGTCCTGTCACTGGATCTTAATAACGCCTTTATCCACTGCGTCATATGTCCTTGAGAAGAAGGCCGGAGCGTACAACGGTCGAAACGTTGTAATAAATATGACGACAAAGATGAGGACAATAGTCTGAATAATGTAAATAATGTACATAATACCTCATCTCAGAAGTATAGACAAAATATTTTTTGTTTAGGGTTTTATTAAGTTTATGCATAAATTTCGTTTTTTGTGTTTGTTTCATTTTACAGAATATTAAAACAATGACTAAAAGTTTTCTGAAGCAGCACTCCTACTAATTTTAGCCACGAGCGGCCACTGAAGGTAAACAACTTTGATGTCAAGATAAAAAGAAATATCACAACCGAAACACGGTATACTGAAGTCTTGGGATACTTATTAAATACACAAAGCCATATTCTATCTCTTCTACAGTGACAGAAAATAAAATTTGAACTGGGTACATTATTTGCATGAGCAAAGATAGTAAATCTCTATCTATAAAAGGCAGGATGAGTGTGTGGGTGTGTAACGAATGCACGGCTGCAATTTTCGATGGATTTGTACCAAAATTTACATGCACAGGCTCCAAGTTAGCAGGAAGGCCAAGACCGACTTTGCATTTACCAACTCTCATCGACAGGGGAAATAATCGATTTTTTCATGCTTCTGCGGCAGTTTTCATGTAGTTTGCGGCCATTTTTTACTGGCCAGAGTGAGAGCTAATAGCTGGCTGCCACGAATAGGCAGGAAGATTCTATTGGCCAGCGTGAGAGCCGACAGCTGACTGACACGAATGTTAACTAGCATGCTAGCATGCATAAAAAATCGATAACTGCATTCGTCACAAGTGGGAAAAATTTAAATCTGCATGGCACTTTACTCCAATTGGCTCATTGGCTTGCTTAAACTCAACGTTGATTCTGATTCCGCAGAGCTGGGTTGGGTGTGAAAAAGTATTTGTTGTTAACATTCTTTTTCATTCGGTTTTTCCAGTTACGAGTCCTTTTTTAAAGCTGATCGTTTTGTGTTCATTTTGTTTAGTTCTTTTTCGTAACAGATTTAATGTTTAGTATAGAGCTTAGAAAAAATTCGCAGTGTGAAGTAAGGCATGTAGCAACATCAGCACGGCAAAGAGCACTCCTTTAAAGGCAAGGAAGGGCAAAAATATTTTAAGTCAAGTGATAGCGATTGCTGTATGAGTCGTACGATTTTTGAATCAAGCACGCTCAATGCCGGGCCATGCTGCTAGTATACTGATAAAAAAAAAAAGTTTTCGTGCAGTGACGTAGTAACCAGTGCAACTTTTCGACGGTGATATATGCTTTTATAAGGGCCTTTGCGGTAAAAAAAGAGACTCGCAAGTAAATCTACTGTTCAATTAGAGACATGGCCCGGCGTTGCCCGTACTTGATTCAAAAATCGAAAAAAAATGTGCATGTAAATTTTGGTGCAAATCCGTCGAAAATTGCGACCGTGCATTCGTTACACACATACGCACACATCCTGCCTTTTATAGATAGAGATAAACAAATGAATGGTGAAATTGCTGCATAATATTAATCCTCCTATATGCTACAGAGTGCTGAATAATTTTCTCTCAGATAAAGAAAAGATTTAAGGCAAGAGATGTGGTTCTATAGAAGGATTCTGGGAATACCATGGACGGAATATATGAGCAACGAGGAAGGTTTAAGGGAAATTAGAACGAAAAGGGTATTTAGGTTCAGAAAAAGATAGTTGAAATTTATTGAATACCCACCGAGGAAAGAATGCAAGGAAAATTTGATACTCACAGGATATACTGAAGGTAAGGCAGACAAAGGAAAACAGAATAATCTACCTAATGATCTTGCGTAAATGAATAACAGTACATTGACTGGGATGATTGATTTGATTTTTTACGGCTTATTAACCTTTCGTAGGTTATTTAAAGCCAGAAAATCTTTTAGATTGTAGGAATTTAGGGTGAATAATAATGATTTGCTGACACAAGACTTATTAATTCTTAGCTGGAGTGGCGGAGAGGTGAATTCATAATTTTCCCAACAGTATTTGCGCGTAAGTGAAGATAATGAACTCGACTGGAATTAGACCTCAGCTCTCCGATTGCCGATTCTGTACCGTTATCTATTACACCACACGCATATCCAAGCTTACAGCACCTGATATTCTCAAGCGATACATCTAAGTACTGTCCAGGCTCAACGTTGCTTAACTTTGGTGATCGTACGAGAACCAGTGTTTCAACGTGATATAACCGTAAGCCTTTAGAGTTGGATGAATAGTAAGGGGACAAATACTGCTTAGAGCTGAAAAGATTGAGCTCTTAGATCTTGTCGAACTCTCTGTTTTTGGGCAGAGAGAAACCCAGACGAGGCTATGCCAGAGGGAAGAGTCTCGTCTGGAGAGGTAGACAAATCCGACCTCGTGTATCTACGGTGAATTTTTACCCGAGCCTACGGGCTCGGATTTGCCCCACATAAAAATTGGTCTTTTGTTGCATCCTATCTTGTGGGAGCTTTGGTAAATCCCGAGCTAGAAAAATAGGAAGTTGTGGGGAGACATGATCATCCACGATCTGAAGGAGCGAGCGCAAAGAAGAAGCTCGTTTCGCTGATCAGTGTTGTGAGTTCATATTCTTATTAAATCTTATTTATTTATTTATTATGCCTCTTGATTCCTTTGGGAAGATAAGTCCGCCTATTTTTATTTATTATGCCTCTTGATTCCTTTGGGAAGATAGGTCCGCCTATTATTATTTATTATGCCTCTTGATTCCTTTGGGAAGATAGCTCCGCAACAACACCGTTCTGGGCGATCCTCTTCAGCTCGGCCTATATTGTGCCTTATTGTTGCTGCACATGCAATTTCTTCATTTCCAGAATTTCCATAGTTAACTAAATAGAGTCTGACACGAGCCACATTGTAGTGTGTTCCAAGAAAGCTGAATTATCGCTTATAATTCACCTCTATCGCTTATAATTTATCATTATCGCTTATAATTCACCTCTATGAAGGCCTTTATATTTCAGTGCGCTTTCTTTTGTGATATAAGGTAGCGTTTCTACAGTCAATTTTGCTTATAGAGCCACTTGCATCTTTTATTATAAAATGATTGATCGTTGATTTTCACCAGTTCGTTCTACAGATGCAAAGGCAAGTTACACATGATGGCTCAATCATATTGTTTGACATGACGCTAAAAATAGCAGGTATATTGCTATGAAACAATATTCTAGCAACGAGAGAGATGATTGATTGACAGATAAACTGCTTGCGAGAAAAGAAAGCCAAGGCGTCAATGGAGGTATGACTTGTTTTTCTTTTTACTCTCTTTCTTTTCTATTTGGGCATTTTCTTTGATTTTTTTTTTAATTTTTTTGGTTGTTACTTTTTTTACTTTTTTCTTTTAAAAATCGGTTGGAAGAAATCACACGCTTAATATACAATGCTAAATCTCATCGTGAATATATAAACGTGACAATGAAGAAAAATAGCCTCAATTTATTGACATTTTGCTTAGGAATAATCGAAAAAATACTGGAAATAAATATACGTTTATATCTTGGTGTGTGACATAATTTTCCTTGTGGAATATTTCTCCAAACGCATTATCTATCCGGCAATCTTGAAATAAAGGATGTTTCATTAAGATGGATTATATGTAAGGGTGTTTCATTAAGACGGATCAAAGTCAGCAGGAAATAAATCAGTTTTAATGGTGAAAATTTATTTATTTCTCTATTGGATCATGTTATTTAAGTCAAGGCAATTATGTGTGAAAAATAATATCGCCAAAATGTTCCGCCAAATCTGAAAGAAAACGAAAAAAATTATTACACACTTAAACTTAATTCACATTTAAAATCGGTCCAAGTTATTGGAACACCCTTTATTACAGATGACACTAAAACAAAAAAAATATTCTTTTTAAGTAATCAATAGTTGATTAATAAAATACTTAATTAACAAAATTCTTGACTTACTTTTTGAAGATGCCAACTATTATTTGCATCATCACGAGGAAATATTAACAAAATCAACAATTACAAACATTAGGTTATTCAGAAAATAATGTCCAATTTTTAAAATAAATATTTTGTTTTCTAATATATTTTTATAATACTTACACAAAAATATACTACTCATTCCTAATTATTAAAGTGTCTTTTTTGTTAATCAATCTCTTTCAGAATTTAACTTAAAACATTATATAGCCCTCAAATTGTACATGAAATAAAGATGCGTTTACTTCAAGCTTGATCCTAATGCTCAGCCTACTGCCGATATAAAAAGCTTTCTGGAATTTAATCAGAGAATCACTGCCGAAGATTACTGTCAGCAACTGGATGAATGCACATTCAATTAAGCAAAATACGACCGACACTGATTAATCGACAGGCTTTATGACAATGGTCGGCCACATCTTGACGAGACACTCCAGAAATTCACCGACAAGACTTTACAAGACCCCACCATATTCCCCTGATCTCTCATCCATTGACGACTTTTAAGCCAAAAGACATTTTGTTGTAAAGATGTAGAAATTGCATTCAAAGGTTTCTTGGGGTTCAAACCTTTAGAGTTTTATCGGAACGGTATAAATAACCTTGTAACTCGATTGCAGAAATATATAGATATTCAGGGTTCCAATTTTGACTGATTTAAACACTGTTTAAATCCATTCATTCAGGAATAAAAGTTGATTCTAAGGACCTAATATTAACAAAATCGACGATTAACAATTGCTCGAAGAGCTGCCTGATAATTGGCAACGATATATTGCAAATTATGATGAATATATAATTCAATAAAATGTAATTGTAGTTTTTGAGGAATAAAATTTATAAACTAAAACGAAAATTATTTATGACTCATAAGAATATGGACCATCCACAAACATCTTATCGACATGTTTTACAGAAAGCTTTGAATATTGTTGCCACATATGGTCCGGTGCTCCTGTTATATATTTAGAAATTCTTGATAACACCCAAAAAAGAATCAGCAATATTATTGGTTCTGACCTGATATCTCGGCTTTAGTCACTTTCCCATCTCCGTAAATTTACTTCCCTGTACCATTTTTTTTAATAAATACTTTCATGGTTATGGTTCGGATGAACTCTTAGCTATGGTACCTAGACTTTATGAATTTAAACGCAGTATTAAACTAGTAACGTGGTCTCATCAATTTACAGTTGAGTCGGCCAGATGAAACTGTAAGTTGTATGATAACAGTTTCTTTCCTCGTTTGAAAAATTTATTTTCTTGCACTTCTTTCTTGAAAAATTATTTTAATAGAAAAATTTTATAAATTTCAAGTGAAAGTAGCACTATTTGCTCGGTCAGTGGTTGATTTTTTACGGTTTATCAACTCTTAGTCGGTTATTCAAAGCTGAAACACGTTTTGAATTGTAAGATTTTTTTTTCAACTATTACAATAGCAACTGTTTTTGAGAATAACGATGATTTTTATTGATACAAGTCCTACTATCTAACCTATAGATAGAGGGGGTGATGGATTCATACATTTTCCAATATATTTGTGCGTAAAAGAACGTAACGAACTAAACTGAAAATCGATCCGATATCCTTTGCAACATTCGCACACCACCTCTGTGAATGAATAACAGATGTTTACTTTTCTTTTTCCTCAATGAAAGATAAACTGATTTGGGACTTTCAATATCTCTAAAATCATGTTAGTAAAATGTCCTCATCAGCGATCGAACCATGATCTTTGAATAAACGGTTGCACTCTCAACGAGGTTCAATGCGTTGAAGAATTTCTTTTTTGAATAAAGTTTACTCTAGACCTCATATACATACAATCCATCGCTAAAGATGTTGGGGGAAATGGCCGATTCTTTTTAACCCTCCAGAAAGTACCTAAATTCTCTGGCATGCTTGGCCTTTACCTAGGAGTATACACCGATCATTTGTGGATATCTATGCTGATGGTACAATGGTATACAGGTGAACCTCCAAAACTCTAGACGACCAGAAATTGGCAGCTGATTACTCCTATGACCTCGCTCTCACAACTCAGTGGTGGTGGTGGGGGCGAGAACTGACTGGTTACATTCAGTGCCTCGAAAACCAAACGAGTAACATTCCATCATCGCCGATCGAACCCTGAACTACTACCAATCACAATGTATGGATGTTTCTTCAGTGAGTTACCGTGACTTGAGAACCTATTGGGTCTTAAACTCAACCCAAATCTCAAGTAGATCTCGTATATACGATCCATTGCTAAGGATGCTGAGAAAATGGTCGATTCCAGTAAGTACCCGACTTCTCCGGTTATCCTCTAAGTTTACAAGAGCCAGATCAGACCGAATATGGAATACTGCTACCATATATAAACAGTAGCTGCCCAGTCTTCATTTCCCAGTCTCGATACAGTCTAAAAGTTTCTCCGCATCTTTGTAGGTGACAAATTATTTACCCCCCCCACAACCCCTTTCTCACATAGGAAGTGCTCAGGTGAAATACATTCCTTAGTTCCACCAGTTCTAACCTTTACGGCTAAGACCCGTCATGCTACGTACATTGAGATATATATATATATATATATATATATATATATACTACTTGGTGGTATATATATCTATCTATATACCGCCTCAGCATATATATATATATATATATATATATATATACCACTCGGTAGATATATATACCACCTCTGTAGATATATATACCACTAGCCAGGGGGTATATATCACTTAGTTGTATATATGCCCCCTCACTAGATATATGTACCACTTGGTGGTATAGATACTACCTCGATAGATATACATATCATTTTCAGGTATATGCATACACTGCCTCGGTAAACATAGATAGCATGTGTTACTATATATATATATATACATAAAGAAAGAACAGTAAGATATATAATTCAGTGTTCTTATAGATATTTTTATTTTTACAAAATAGTGCTCAATGTAAATTTACAGAGCATTAATATTATAAATAAAATGATTTAAAATATGTTTTTTTTCGCTACGCAGTTTGAAATATGGTTAGAACTGTGTAGCGAAAAAAAACATATTTTAAATCAATTTATTTATTATTATATATATATATATATATATGCCTCCTCAGTACATATATTGTACATAGCACTTGGTGCTATATATATCTCCACGGTAGCAATACATGCCATTCAGTGTAATGGTTAGCGAGCTTGTCTCGCTAGATCATTTACGACTGGATATTGAGTTCGATCCTTACTAGGTGTTACATATTTTCA